ATAGCTGAGTGAATCAGATGACCTGTATATTCCCAAATAGTAAATTTCCTTTGAGAAGAAAGTAACAAAGAAGAAGGGCCCAACAACAACCAAATTGATCCGAGAAACCAACAACCATGTGGAGAGGAGGCCACACCATCCATGATGGTCTCTGCTGTGGAAATCATCCCCATTGTCCAGTTTTCTACCTTCTCTCCCATCATGTATGCCTTTCCCTTTTCAGTCTCTACATGCGATCCCGATTTCCGCTTGGATGAGATGGATGCGATTCTTTTGACCATTGGTCTGGAATCTTGAAATATCACTTTTTTATTCTAGAATAAGGAAAAAAAATGAATGTTTTGTTTTTAGATGGTAAAATGACATTTTTTTATTTGCAAACGCGTCTAAGGTTAAGGTGTTCCTCATGTTCTCACAAAATGATTGTGATATACACATGCAATAGAATTCACATGATATATTGAGAGCTATGAATAATGAAATACAATCCCATATCACTGACCAAAGCAACTTAAGGTTGGTCAGTATTTACATACAGTAAAACTAGCCACCAAATAGACTATCAAAACATTTCCAAAATATGACCAGCTTAAAAGATGTGCTGTAAGTGCAAAATATACACCTGATTTTGAAACTGTAAAATACCTTAATATTCTATAGTTATTGCTGAATAACTTTGGATAGATTAAGTGATTACTAGAAAAATTGTTAATCATGTACCCATATTTGGTGGGTTCATGTTCTATTTTTAGCATCAGACAGAGCTGGTATGGAATGTTAAATACTCTTTACCTTTATTTGAAATAACATAGATTCACAGGAAATATAAGTGACAGTCGCGCATCTCAAACCAGCCTTCCACTGTTAACAACCCAAATAACTATAATATAGTATCAAAACCAGGAAATTGACATGGGTAATCCATATTTTCCATGAAATTGTGTGTGCTTTTGACTGAAGACTTTATTTCCTTTAATGTTTTATTATTTTTGGAGAGAGAGAGACAGACGGAGAGAGAGATGAGCGACAGCATATGAGCATAAGAAAAGCGGAGGGGCAGAGAGAGAGGGAGCATACAGAATCCAGCATGGAAGCTCTCAGCTGTCAGCACATAGCCTGAGCGGGCTGAAACACAGGAACCATGAGATCATGATCTGAGACAAAGTCACACGCCTCAACTGACTGAGCCAACGGTAAGTTCTCAGAATCTACTTTTAATTGACAGATGTTTATATTCTACCACTTATTTATTAACCATATTAATCAAATATATTTACATTGTTCATGCCAGAACTATTCTGGGCACAGAAAGACAATGAGTAATAAAGATCTGGTACCTGATCTTACAGAGCTTTTACTTTGGATAGCAGAGGATAAACACATAAATTTGTAATGTAATGCTCAGATGCCAAATAGCCACCGGCATATGATCATTTTTTTCTGGCGAAAGCACTTTTGTGATGAGTTGAAGCCTGTAAATAGTTATTTTTTTTTTCATGTAACACCATTTTAGACTAAAATAACTTGAAGAACGAAGACAGATTCCTGGCTATTCATTCTGGGGTATCTGGCAGATTTTTAAGTGAATGAAGTAGTTCTGTATGAAACAATTGATAGCTGTTTGCTGCCAGGATAAAATCAGTTTCTCATGGAGATTTAGGAATTTCTGACTCTATCAACTACACAAATTTTGCTTCTAATTTAAAGTTTAATATTAACAAATGTAGCTTTTTTAAAAAAATTGCAGAATGCAATATATTAGCATTTGGAACATCTTTGAACTCCAGTGAAACAATATTTTCCAAATACAATACATATTTCAAAATCATGCATGGATAAGTCTCACTCAAAAGTATATGACTTTCATGTGTAACGGACTTCTGTAAGAGTGGTATCAGGATGTACCTTTAAGGAAACCACTTCGGCCAGTTTGGGGTGCATTTATCTGGCGACATTCATGAAGGCTATTAAAGGTTTTCCTTCTACTATGTCTTTTGTGAGGCTGATTTTCTCTGCTATACTTCCAGCTAAAACATCGCATTGCAGCAATATAATACAGAAGCTGTTATATAATCCAGCTGACTTTTTTTAAAAAAAAATTTTTTAATGTTATATATTTTTGAGAGAGAGAGAGAGTAGAGAGAGGACAAGAGCATGAGGAGGGTGAGGGGCAGAGAGGGAGAGGGAGACACAGAATTACAAGCAGGCTCCAGGCTCTGAGCTGTCAGCTGAGCCTGACATGGTCTCTAACCCATAAACCGTGGAGATCATGACCTGAGCAGAAGCTGGATGCTTAACCCACGGAACCACACAGGCATCCAATGCCATCTTTTCAGACATTAAAGAGTTCTATAAAAGTGCTATTTTTATCTATATTTTGAAACATCATTTAAAAAATGTTTTTTTGTTTGTTTGTTTATTTAAGAGAGAGAGAAGAGAGGGGAGAAAGACATAGAACTGCTCTTGAATCGTTGTGGGCACAGAGCCTGGGATATATGGGTCAACCAAATGGAATAAAGCATCATGACCTGAACTGGAAATCTCAGAGTCAGGGATGCAATAACTGACTGAGCCACCCAGGTGTCTCCCCAAACATTATTTTGAAATTAAAAAAAAACTGTTAATTATAAGCAATATATAATGCATGTATTATTATATATATATATTTTTTAATTAATGTTTATTCACTTTTTTTTTGAGAGAGAGAGAAAGAAAAGAAAGAGCCAAGCAGGGAGGGTATAGAGGAGAGGGAGACAGAACCAAAGCAGGCTCCAGGTTCTGTTGTCATCAGCAAGAGCCCGACCAGGGGTTTGGGAACCTGTCGAACCGGGCGAGATCGCGACCTGAGCCAAAGACTTCAACTGACTGAGCTACCCAGGTGCCCTATTGCTATTTTAAACTAAAGTAAATTTTTACATTTTCTCCTTTTAATTTAATTTAGAAATAGATGAATATTGCACATTGGTCAAATCTCTTGGAGTTTTCAATAATTACTGAAAGTAACAAGGTCCTGAGATCAAAATTTATAATCTGTTGACACAGACCAGTAGCTGAATCAGAGAATAAAACCCCATGATGAAGATGGGGAATGATACTTTTGGTACAGCGTATGATATAAAGAAAATAAAAAAAGCAGAAATGCAAATTACTCATATGGAACTTACGCAGCATTTCACCCCCCCACACCTATTGCTATCGTAATATTTTTTTCATAAAGTTCCCTTGCGATCTTTACATTTTTGTAAATGAAAGTTAGGAGTCTGTATCCAGCTCAGAAAATGGGAATTTGTTATAGCAAAAAAGTGTCCACAGATAGTTGAAAAAAGCAAAAAGAGGATACTGAGGTAGGCTGTTAGTAATGGTGCAGGGAAAATCTTCCTCGATATTGAGGAAACAAAAGGGAAGATAAAGAGTAAAAGCAGGAGTTATAGGAGGTCCTGGTGCAAGGCTGGTGGCTTAGCACTCTCAGCTTCCTCTCTCTACACACACACACTGCTAGATTTTAAAGCAAAGACCAACCCTGGCCTCCACAAATCATAGTGACAGGATGAACCATTCTTCTTTTGGAGAAAACAAGGTGTCCTTGAGTTTCCTTGCAGTTTGTCCAGCCCCACCCAGGGGAGAGATATCAGGCTGATGCTGGTTCAAAAAATAAAACTTGGAACCTCCTCCTGGCATCTCTCAGGAACAAGACAGGAACCTTCTAGTAGTGGCACTAGACTTTCGTTTCTTTCCTTGCTTATTTGACTTTTCTCTGTTTGTTTTGACCTCTTTTGTACCTAATTTGCCTATCACTTTGGTTTCCCATCTCCTATCACAAATGTTTCTACTCATCTGATGGGTGGAGAAAGGGATCCAGTACCCGGTCTTTTGCACTCTGTATCTCTTATCCTTCTTAACAGCAGAGTGAAAGAGAAGCCCGGCGCCTGGGTGGGTTTAAATTTGTTGCTGGATCACTGCCCACAGGTCATCTCACGGTCTGTGAGTTCGCTCGTCGGGCTCTTGTGCTGACCGGCTGAGCCCAAGAGCCTGTTTCAGATCAGGCTCTCTCTCTCTGACCCTCCCCCCTGTCTGCTCTTGTCTCTTCTCTTTTCTGAAAATAAATAAACGTTAAAAAAAAAAAAAGATGAAAGAAAAGAGTTCTTCTTTGTAAATCCCATTCTTCAGTGATTCTCCATGTATCCAGCCTACACAAAAAAGACTGCTTCTGGAAAAAAAAATGCTGTCCAAGAACACATTTCCACACTACTAGAGAGGAAAAAACCCACCAAGCATTTCTTCCTCTTTTGAATGAGAAGAGCAGGCATTCCCAGCTGAGTCTTGAACTTACTTTTTTTGGAAGATTACCTGGGCAGGGGAACATAGTGTTTCAGATGGGGGGTATGTGAGCCAATGGCTGGTTGTTTCCTGATTGGTGTGACCTTGGCAAAGCATTTTGTACCATGGTCCATCCTCCATAACACGGATAGTATTTAGTACCACTTCATAAGGATGTTGTAAAGATTAAATAAATTCATGTGTGGCAAGCACTAGAACCTGCCCATGGTGATTCACAAGGCTGAGCTTCCTCATTATTGCTGGCTATTATTTAAGATACCTTGGGGTGCCTGGGTGGCGCAGGTCATGCAGTCCGACCAGCCAGGTCACTTATCTCAAGGCCTCAGGATTGAAGTTCGCATGGGCCAGGCTCTGGGAAGATGGCTCAGAGCTCGGTTTTGCTCGATCTTCAGTGTCTCCTCTCTCTGCCCCCCCGTTCATGCCTCTGTCTCTCTCTGTCCAAATAAACGGGAAAAAAAAAATTTAAAAAAAAAAAAAAAAAAAAAGATTAGGCAATCTTTGACCTACCAAAGAATCATAATTTGTCTATGTCCATGTGGTATACTGTGTTGCAGTTTCATAAAAATTTCTCTTTGGGGAAAGTAAAAGAAATGTTAATAGAGTATACATGATGATATTTCCACCTCCCCTGATATTTTCATACTGAAAAACTATCTACATACTTCTGCTTTTGCTTTTCTTAAACCAACAGCACACCAGACAGCATAGAGCCAGCCATGAGGCCACTGAGCACAGGGAAACAGCCAAGATGATGGTTGACTTCTCTGACATGGTTGCAGGTGAGACAACGAATGACTTTGATCGAGCTGTAAAATTGGCCCCTGTTAAAAAAAAATCCCAATGATAACATATTAATAAGATGTAAGATGCTGATAGGATAAAAATATTGTGGAAGAGATATGTTTATAATACCTGCCACTTAGTAGGTCCAATAAATATTTGTTGAATTAAATAATTAAATGAACCAATAATAAATCCAAGATCCGCATATCTGAAGAACTACAAGAATCCAATTGCAACAATAACATACAATTGTTCTTTCCAATTCTCTCCATTGCTGAGGGGACATTCTTCCAATTCTCCCCTTTTATTCTCAGACTTACCTTTTCCCCCAATGCAAAATTTCAATTTCACTCTTATGTTCCACTAATTAGAACAGAAATGCTCTCAGCTCTAGAATGTGTGAAATCACTTGCTCTGACATATGTATCCTATTTAAAAAATGGCATGTAACACATCAAAACAGAGCAATGGGGATTCCTACCATGGAGCCAAGAGAATTTCTAATGTCCATGAGAATTTTGTTATCTGGAAAAGTGGGAGGAGGGTAGTGGCAAATAGATAGAGCCACTTTAGTTATGAAGCTGGGGGAAAATGGGCAACTTCCTTTAGAGACAGCATTTTCCTAAGAATTCATCTCAAATCCTTTAATAGACTGAAAAATTTGGTTCTCAGTCCATTATTATTTTTGAAATAATTTTGAAATAAAGCTTTAAAAATTCTAAAAAAATTAAAAGCTGGGGCGCCTGAGTGGCTCAATCAGTTAAGCGTCTGACTCTTGGTTTCAGCTCAGGTCATGATCACATGGTTCATGGGTTTGAGCCACACATTGAGCTCTACATTGACAGTGCATGGCCTGCTTGGGATTCTCTCTCTGTCTCGTCCCTACAAGTGCATGTGTGTGCTTTCTCTCAAAATAAATAAATAAGTTTAAAAATAAATAAAAGCTTGCTTATACACAAAAAAATTTGTACGTAAATGTTTATAGTATCTCTATTCATAATCACCCAAACCAAGAAACAACCCCAGTGTTTTCAACACAGAAATGAATAAACCAACTATGGTTTATCCAGACATTGAAATACTACTTAGCCATAAAAGGGGAAAAATAATAAGGAACAAAAATAGGAAAGGAGGGAGTGAGAGAGGAAGTAATAAAGCCAGGCAGGCAGGCAAAGGAAAGAAAGAAACAGAAAAAGAAAAGAAAAAAGGAGGGAGGGAAAGAAATTAAAGAAAGAAAACAGAAAGAAAGAAAGAAAGAAAGAAAGAAAGA